GTCCATTTCTTGTCTTTGTTTTCCGGTAATAAAGATTATAACTTAGTTTTCTGACCACTTTCTCTTTCACAGAGAGCTTCCACATGCAGTGGTTAATCAGCAAGATTAATAGTGAAAGTAGTTTTTAACACCTTGATATTTTTTCTTTGGTTTAGAAGCGATTCTTTCTTCATAAGATTACTCCTAAGATGCATAGAAAAGTTTTCTACTTCAATGACAGTATTAGATTTATTTGGAAAGAAGGTCTAATGTGAAAAAAAAAAAATTCCTCAGTAGTTTTGTCATTCATGAGAGTTTTTCAGAGTATCTTGGGTATGTGTATGACCTAAAACATATTGGACATTTATGATATCTTTGTAGGTGCTTCCCTATAATTTTATGATATGTATCCTAGATGGTCGGCCTTCTGCACACTTTTCGTTTTATGGCCCATGTGTAATAGCAACTTTTTAAAAACAGAACTTAGGATTGGTTGCTTCCAAGCCAAACACAGGGTTATATTTTTTCCATGTTTTTACTAAACTGGATGACATCTCCAGGAATGTTTCTATTCTAACTTGATTTACTGTTTCTGTCTATAAAAGAAAGACTTCCAAAGTAACATTCTTCTTAAGACAGATTTATATACACTTTGAATAAATGAAATATTTATAGAAACAAAAAACTGTTTATATTGAAAGTAGTCTACTTCAATGGCATTATTCACCTATCATAGACTTTTAATCTATTAGGGTAAAATTATTTTAGCCACTCTTATTCTGTCATTGGTGTTTATGTTTCCAGATACCAGTGATGGTGAGATTGCTAGTGAATGTGAATATGACAGCGTCTTTAATCACTTAGAGGAGCTGAGACTTCACCTAGAGCAGGAAATGGGCTTTGAAAAATTCTTTGAGGTTTATGAGAAAGTAAAGGTAAGTAAAATGTCAGTTAAAACAGTTACTTTTAAAATGTGCTCTCCTTGGGCTGTTGGGGACCGTGATCTTGGGGAACAACTAGCTCAATTGGCATAACATAGTTTATAAAGAAAATGTTCTACAGTCTACCTTGGTGAGTAGCGTCTGGGGTCTTAAAAGCCTGTGAGCAGCCATCTAAGATACTCCACTGGTCTCACCCCTTTGGGAACAAGGGAGAATGAAGAGAACAGGATACAAGGATAGGATTAGTCCAAAGGACTAATGGACCACAGCTACCACGGCCTCCACCAGACTGAGTCTGGTACAGCTAAATGGTGCCCGGCTACCACCACTGACTGCTCTGACCGGGATCACAACAGAGGGTTCTGGACAGAGCTGGAGAAGGATGTAGAACAAAATTCTAACTCACAAAAAAAGACCAGACTTACTGGCCTGACAGACTGGAGAAACCCCAAGAGTATGGCTCCCAGACACCCTTTTAGCTCAGTAATGAAGTCACTCCCCAGGTTCAGTGTTCAGCCAAAGATTAGACGGCGCCATAAAACAAAACAAGACTAATGGGGTACAGCACTCCAGGGAGAAGGACTAGATGGCAGGAAGGGACAGGAAAGCTGGTGATAGGGAACTGAAGGTTGAGAAGGGACACTGTTGACATGTCATGGGCTTGTTAACCATTGTCATAAAACAATATGTGTACTGTTTAATGAGAAACTATTTGTTCTGTAAACCTTCGTCTAAAGTACAATTTTAAAAAAAAGTGCTCTCCTTGAATACTAGTGAAATTTTGATCTTTATTGGTCAATAAACATATTATAAATAGTGAAGTCACAAATTAGAAAAGTTGAAATTCAAATAGTAATTTATATTTGGAAATTTGGTGTAGGCTATTCATGAAGATGAAGATGAAAATATTGAAATTTGTTCAACAATAGTTCAGAATATTTTGGGAAGTGAACATCAGCATCTCTATGCCAAAATTCTCCATTTAGTCATGGCAGATGGAGCCTATCAAGAAGGTAAGATTTCCTCAGATGCCTTTGTATTTTAAATAAATGTGAGAAAAACAAGGTGACAAAATATGAACTGTGGTAAAATCTATATTGGAACCATATCTAGCACCTTTAAGGGATATAAAATTAGCTCTGTCATACACTTTTACTGGCATTACTTAAATCCTTTAAGTCACCATTTTTCATTTAGTTTATAAGTAATGAATAAGTTTTTTTTTTTTAAAGCATCCTTATTGGATAGAAATTAGAATAATTCCTAACCAAGGCCACAGTATTATGATTTTTAGACGCATACACTTCAGCAGTGTGTAAAACCTCTCCTGCATGTGTATCTTTTCCATTCAGAGTGAGTGCAGTTCATCTATAGTGAGTTTGAATGTGAACTTTTTTTATACTGGGAAAATACTTACCTATAGAATCACCCAAAATATGTTAGGGCTTTATTAAGTTGCTAAAATTAAAAATAGTTTTTCCTCTTAAATGTAGTCAAGAGCACTAAACACAGAATCAAGGCCAGTTATAGCCCTGACCCTGCAACAAACCAGTTATGTGACATTAGTGACTTGTTCTCTTAAGTTTCAGTTTCCTTTGCTGTGAAATAAAGACCCCATCCACTGCGATTGTTTCCTCAAGGATTTGTTGAGAACCTCTTGGGTGCCTAGCACTTCATCACTATGGATGTTAAAAAACAGTCTTGGCTTACATGTTGTGGACAGATTCCTGGGGAAATGAGACATAAATATATGAAATAATTAACATGTAAAACTATATAAAAGTGCTCATTCTAAATACTTTAAATGTGGTAGGAACTAGAGAAGGGGAGGTTGGGCCACGAAAAAATAGAAGGAAATGTCGAGGGCACAACCGTATGGGGAAAACAGAATGAACCAGTAACCAATGTATATTAAAAAAAGAAACCAAGTTTGTTGCCGTCTAGTCAATTCTGACTCATAGCAACCCTATAGGACAGAGTAGAACCACCCCCCAGGGCTTCCAAGGCTGTAATATGTAGGAAGCAGACTGCCACATCTTTCTCCCACAGAGCAGCTGGTGGGTTCAAACTGCCAACCTTTCAGTTAGCAGCCAGGCTCTTTAACCATTGCACCACCAGTGCGCCTCCAACGTGTATTTAAAAAAAAATAAATAAAGAAAAACCCATTGTCATCAAGTCAATTCTGACTCATAGCGACCCTATAGGACAGAGTACTCTCCCATAGAGTTTTCAAGGAGCACCTGATGGATTCGAACTACCAACCTTTTGGTTAGCAGCCGTGGCTCTTAACCACTACGCCACCAGGGTTTCCCCAGTGTGTATTAGGAAGATTAAATTGACCACAATGAAGCTTCTTACTGTGAGTTCATTTGGGTGATTAGACACTGCAGAGTGTTTGAAATGCATAGAGAAAATCAGTAGCAGTTTTTGCATGGAAAAAACTGACAGGGTGAGAGAGGTACTTTATAAAGTTCAGTCTGGCAGCAATTGTCAGGTGAGTCTGGAGAGCAGAGAGACTGGAAGTAAGATGGGCCTCGAAACTGTAGCTGCATTTAGGCCTGAGATGACGAGCACTTGGATTTAGTGTCCATAGGAATAGAAAGTTGTTACTTAGTTCACCTACTTCAGAGCCAGGCTTTTTACAAAAATGTCTGCTAATTTGGAATCATGAAAAAAGTAAGTGCGCTAAAATCAAATTTAAATTTTTTGGTTTGGGAATAGTTTTATGGTTATATAGACTTAATTACATTGGTCATAAAACTCAGCAAAAAAATGTTTCATGAATTGCTTTAATGACAGTAAAAGTCTTGTTTAAAAAATCTAATGGTGATTCTTAAATAAAAAAAAATAATCTTTAGGAACACTAAGTGTTTTTGTCTCATAGATTCAAAAACCACTGCATTTTTTATTACTGTTCTTCTTACCTGAGCAGAGCAATAACTAACCAGAAAGAATTAGAGTCATTAGTAAAAACTTGATTCATGATAAGCCAGTCCTCCTTCCGATTAATTAGTGCTGCGTTTGTTCTTCTTTATGGTTTTCTTTAGCCCCCTTAATACTTCAGATTACCAAAATAAACAAGTAGAAACAGAATAGTGTTTCATCTGTATGGTGGTTACTGTGAAATCTATCAAGAGAAACTTAAGGTCACTCTCTTCTATAGAAAAATTGTTAAGGAGTATAACACCACATTGGGGAAAAAAATATCAGGACTTAAACATATCCAAATGGGTATTAGCTTTTTCAAAGTAGAGCTATAGGTTTAATCAAATGAAAATGATCCATTAAACAAAATATTTTGAGTCTTCTCTTTTGGAATTGTCCTCACAGCCTAGTCCACGCTCTTTCGATTGTCCTTATTGATACAAGTCTTTACCTGAGAGAATTTAATTTTGGGAGGTATAGCTTAAAGTTACTTGAAACCAAGTTTAATGGACAATCAGGACAAATAATATGTGGTCTTTTTGTTTTTGTTTTAAAGTATCTCACAGTGAAGTAATAAGCCTGATTTTTTTTTAATGAATTTGTAAACTGATTTTGAACATTTTGAACAAGAATTTATTTCTGGAACATTTGTCAAATAATTAATCCTATTACTTTAGAGGTATGATTCATAGACTTTATAAAATATGTTGGTACTTAATGTTAGTGATATAAATTTTCTTGAGATTTATTTACATTCTACCTTGTAAGTTAAAAACATATGTTTGGGGGAAGTCAGCATATTGGGCAAATGCAAACAAGCAATATAATATGAAGCCAAGAATGAAGTCAGAATACAAAGTTCATGTTCAGAGGGTCTCTACAGTTGCTCAAAGTAGGTCACGGATTTGGCACGGTCTTTCTAGAAAACTGGGAACCCTAATTAATTACATGAATCATACTGTTCATGAGACAAAACACATTAGTTGCTCGGAAGGATAACTATTTTTGGTATTGAAATCAAAGGACAAAATTTCTCATGATCCTTACAAAGAGGGCACTATAATAAAACATACCTGAAACTTGAATAACACATGGATCCCTTTAAAGGGGAAATTTTTTTTTCAGACCCCAACAATCCAAGTGTCTATAGACTCCACTAAGAAACTGAAGTCTTAGTCTTTGAAAATGTGTCAGTTGTGAATTATTACTGCAAACCCTGTTTTATTTTTGTAAATATTAAAAGATTAAATTATTATCAAAATGAAAATATAAAAGTTAAACATTGTCTAGAACTTATGGATTCCTGATTTCAATTAGATTTTGGACTCTTTTATAAAACAGTATGTAATGGAATGAAAAATATCCCCAGTAATTTTTACAGTATTTGGATTTCATGGAGCTGTTTCTCATAATACAGCACAGTGTAAGTTAATGGCCTGAGGCCAGAGAATGACTGCATTGAAGTAAATCTGTGGAGAGTATCAAACAAGTTCTATTCGTATGCAGACTGTTAATCCTTGAGGCGGTTCTCCATAAGTATTGTTTCAGTTGACCTTTTCATAAGTATAAAGCAGCACTGTGTTTGAGGTTCACTTTTGCTTGACAAGTATCTGGAGAGCTTTTATAATGTATCTCCCCTAAATGGAGAACTATGACAATCAGCTGAGCCACAGGGTAGAATTGATACCCTCTTTTGACAGCTGAGTGGCTTCAAAAGGATGCATGCCTACATAGAAGACATTCCCCTCCACAGGGCCAGGGATCCAGCTAGGCTAATTATCCCTCAGGAAGCAATATCATATTTTCTCTAGCATGCAAATGAAAAGGAGATGAGAGCCACAGAGCTCTGGGTCATACAGCCTGGCAATAATTTCTGTAACTTAGAAATAATGTAAAGCAAGTCATGATAAATTTCCACCCTGGCAACCTTTTTTTAAAACATCATAACTTAATATTACACCCACTAAGTAAACTGGTTATGAACTGTAGATGGCTTATCTGAAGCAACTGTTAATCATCAGACAGTTAAATGTTGGACAGTGACTAAATTTAGAATACCTGTTTTGAAGCCCTTCTTGTTGGACGTAATTAGACCTCAGCTCTAGTTGTCTATGAAGTCCCTGTCTAGGAGGTAATAATAAAACCATGTCATCTGCATACGATGCTTACCTCCTTGTATTCTCTGTGTTGGCAGGGTGGGGGTGTAATAAAGGGAGAAGGTGGGTGCTCTTAACATCTGATTCACCCAAAAGTGGTGTCAAGTCTTTAAGGTACAAGTTAAAAAGAACGTTGTCTAAAACTCATTTCTACTGTATACTTCATTGGAAACTATTTGAGTTCTCAACAGACTGTCTCAACTGTTCATCTCTCCTGACACTGTTCCGTGCATGTTTGTTAGAAGCATCAATAGCTGCAGCTGTTGATAAAGTTAATGAAGCTAGTCCATAGCTAGGAACTGTCTCGAGTCAGAAGTCAAGCTGAGCTCATAAAGTGTATATAACTCCTTTCATGTCACTCATAACAGATTCCTCCACCAGGAGATAATAGGTGTAACAGTGGTCAGTGGTCGAATGGCAGAGACCACCAGGTCCTCGTAGAGAACCTGATCACGCCAGCCCGAGATTGCTGAGTCTTAGATAGAATATTGTGCTGTGTTTATGTAAATTAACTTCGTATGGCAGTCTAAACAAATGAACTAAATTTCCTACTTACAGTATGGGTGAGCCCTACAGACATGATGAGTTGAATAAGTATTATGTGATACCACTTATATAATGTTTAAAACATAAAATGTATTTTGTTTATAGGTGTATATATATAGTAAAAGTAAAAAGTCATGGGAGGGAAGGATACGCATCAGTTTTAGGATGCTGAAAATGCCCCTGGGGAAGAAGAGAGGACAATAAGGTTATACAAGAGTACCTTCTAGCTATAATTTTAAAACAATATGGTCAAAAATGGATTTTTATTAATTCTAGGTATTAGGCATATGTGTGTTCACCATATTATTCTCTATATTTTCCTGAATATTTGAAATATTTTATAATTGTAAACTATCAGTAAATTATAGCACAATGTGGTAAGTGTAGCAATGGAAGCAATAAAATATGTGTAAATTACATAAAGTAATGATCAACTGTATTGGAAGAAGGAAAGCTGGACGTGTAAGTCTTCCTCAGGGAGAGGACATCTGAGCTGGATTTTGAAAGATGAATGGGAATTTGCCCAAAATCAGTGTATCTACTTACACATAAAAAACAAGAACCCGTTGCCATCGAGTCGATTCCAACTCATAGCGACCCTGTAGGACAGAGTAGAACTGCCCCATAAGGTTTCCAAGGAGCAGCTGGTGGACTGGAACTGCCGACCTTTCGGTTAGCAGCCAGGCTCTTAACCACTGCGCCACCAGGCTCCTGCTTACACACAGAGGGAAACTATAGCATACACGATGGGGCAGTTGGGGACGACAGGGAATGAAGGCAGAGAAGGCTGAACATACTTAAAGGCCAGGTCACGGAGGGCTTTGCCGCTCCCAGTCAGGAGCACGGGTTTTCTCCTGAGGCACTGGGGAGCTCATGAAGGGTTTGAAGCAGTACAGTGATTTGAGATGACGCTTGGATTTTAATGAAAGATCACTTTTGCTAGAGTGTGGAAGAGAGTGCTTGTTACATAAGATGAAATTAAGCAGGCTATTTAATGCATTTAGTGTTTTCTAAAGAAAAATTAGAAATAATCAAATTGTCCATAAACAGGAGAATGGTTAATTTAATTATGCCATACCTATATAATAGAATACTATGCAGCCATTGAAGTTGGCATGGAATATAAAAGAAAAAACCAAATCCATTGCCATTGAGTCAATTCCAACTCATAGCGACCTTATAGGACAGAGTAGAACTGCCCCATAGGGTTTCCAAGGAGCGGCTGGTAGATTCGAACTGCCATCCTTTTGGTTAGCAGCCGAGCTTTTAACCACTACATCACCAGGGCTCTGGCATGGAATATATCCATGGTTTATTTTTCAACATATTATTTTAAAATTTTTATCATATATAAAATTATGAAGAATTTTTACAGTTACCACCATATACCTACAACCAGGATTCTGCCATTTACATTTTATAATCTTGCTCTATCACGTATCTATCCATTTTTCCATTCGTGATGTTTTTTAAGGGAAATACTCATGTCTCAAAGCAGCATTTTGGTTTGATTTTTAAGAATGTATGTGTCTGTGTATACATAGAAAAGCAATCTGAGAAGGTGTATACAGAATTAACATCGGTTATACTTGACTTAGAGTGCCTGGGTGGCGCAGACAGTTCACATGCTTGGCTCCTACAATTGGGGTTTCAAGTCCACCCAGAGATGCCTCGGAAGAAAGGCCTGGCAGTCTACTTCCGAAAATTCAACCACTGAAAACCCTCTGGAACACAGTTCTACTCTGACACACCTTGGGTTGCAATGAGTCAGATTCCACTTGAAAGCAACTGGCTTCTGGCATTTAGCTTATCGGTGATTTTTATTTCTTTCTTTATATGTTTTTGTATTGTCTGAATCTTTTACTATGAGCATGTATTATTATAATATAACCTACATTTAAAACTACATTAAACTTAAACCAAAAATATCTCCTGAAGTCTTCTTAAAACCAAACAGTAGTTTAACTTAAATAGTAAAGAATGTCTGCCTTGAGCGTTATGCTCTTTTAAGAACTATATGGGGTCAAATTGATAAAAGCAACTGGAAAGATTAGATAGGAACCTTGGGGGTAGTGAGTTTATTTTAATGGGGGAGGAACAACTCAGAAAAGGAGGGTGAGAATCGTTGCACAACTCGAAGAATGTAATCAGTGTCACCGAATTCTACATGTAGAAACTGTTGAATTGGTATGTGTTTTGCTGTATATATTCACAATGACAACCGTAAGATAAACTATAAAACAAAACCAAGAACTACATTAAAGCTCTTTTCCTTTAGTGTGAAAAAGAATGGATACAATTTGATTTGAAATGAAACAAGTTAATTTTTTTTCTTTTTTTCTTCAGATAATGATGAATAATCCTGTCTCAGAGAGTACTCCTTAAACCTCACCTGTATGAAAGCATTTGAATTCAGCTTATCACAATAACAAGCTTTACTGGGAAACGTAGCAATTATTTATATCTAAGGAATATCAGATTTAACAGGGGCCTGCTGATTGCATGAAAAAGATGGAGAAACATGCCATTTTCAATTAAGAATCTAGTATTTTATCTATTTTATTTTGTTCAGTGAGTTCTGTGGTTACCTCCTATAGAACAGATACTTTGTTAAGTCATCCAACCAAAGCTTAAGAAACACTGACCCAGAAATGGACTTAATGATTTTAAAGAAGATTTACCGTGCCGTAAGGTCATCTTGACTTTGAGGAAATGTCTGTAGGTTGTAAGAATTGCCTATGTCATCAAAGACCTGCCTGAAGGATTTTCATTTAAGGATTTAACCATGACCTTTTTTCTGTCTAGTACATGTTTTCATCCTGGCGAGCAAGTCTACATTAAATAACCTTGTCAAGGGCTCTATTTAAATCTTTACAATTTTGAGGATGGAGTTTTAAGCCTTAAAATTTATATAATCAGTCCTTTTTCAACCAGCCTATCTCCTAAACTAGCTCAGTGCACACGGGCTATGGGAACAGTCTTTGAAATCATTGAAAGATCTGATTATGAAGGAATCGCAAAACTGTATATCCTGATATTTAAAAAGTTGGTTAATTACTTCTCTTTCTATTTAAGGACCAGAACCAGGAATATTATATCTAAAAATTAGTCTGTTAATTTTAACATTGACCAAGCGTGTAGCATAAAGTTGCCTGTTTGGTTTTTAACTTCATTTCATGCACGTGCTTCAAGGACACTATGAAGTTAGAAAGGAGAAAGAATGTTTATTTTGACACGGTGACAGTTTCGGTAAGTAGAATCTCAAAGGGGAGAATGTTTGCCTCGTTTACTCATTGTGAGAGGATTTAGTTAGGTCCTTAGGATGATGGCCATACAGCTTCAGTTGCAGTAGTCCAAGTATTACATGGTTTCATTAGGTATTGTCTCAAGTCCAGGTGCTTTTAGTAATGAGAGCTGAATTTTGAACCTCTGAGTACAAAGCAGCCAGGTTGGCACAATCTAGAATTTGAAAAATAAAATCGTATCTTGCAGCACTATCGGTACTATGTTGAAGTTGTTACGTATATTATCTCTAACATCCAAAACTAAATACTTGATTTTTATACATTTGTTTATTTTATGATATTACTATTAAATTTTTATTATCTCTCTGAAGTATAACTATTGATCGTTTTGTGTTTATTGACCCTATTCTCAGTAGATGCTTGCCTCAGTGCTTTTACAGAGCTGGGAACACTTTCTTTTTTGCCTGTTCTGTAGTATATTGATTAAGACTCTCTGCCTGTCCTCCTAATACAATGTTGTTCTATAGCTGAGTATTTTAGTTCTTTTTTCCTAATGGAAGAATATTTGCATTCTGCACCTTAACTCTCTACAATCCTAAATGCTGGGAATGATTGTTTTTTGTTAATTTATAAATTAAAATAGAGTCCTTATTTCCATTTTAAAAATTACAACTGTTAGAAAAGCAAATAAAGGTATAACACATTAGAAAAAATGTTTTAGCCATATTTCAAAAAATGTCATATATACTGTAATAGGGATGACAAATGGGATTTGTGCCATTTCCAGTCAATTGGTAGTAAGTGGTTCTGGAGTGTTGTTATAGAAAAGTTGTCTATGCCAGTGGGGAAGAGAGCTATTATCATTCAAAAAGGTCTATTATAGGCGTTGGAGATGAAGTATGGAAACAGCTATAGATTCACAGAAAGTTAGAGCTAGAAAGGGCTATCGGGATAATCTGTTCTTATCCCCCATTTAACAGACAAGAACAGTGAGTTGTAAAATGAACTAAGTCACTTCTGTGTAAGGCCAGGGTTAGACCAATTCCCAAGTATTTACACTCTGCTATTAGCTACATATACTTTTTAGAATTTTTCTCTATGAGAGAGTGAGAGACTAGATTCAGTAGGAAAAAGTACATTTAGCATTAATGCATTAAGAATTCTACAGAGATTTTCTATTTCTGGGAATATTTTAATTAACCTATTTCCTATTTCTGGGAATATTCTACTTAATTCTAATTATTCTAATTAACCTCCCTGCTGAAAACAGTTTTAAAATGCTGGATAAAGTTATTTTTCCCCTCATAAATTAACACATACTCTACCCCTTATCACATTGTTGATGATGAATCCTTCAAGACCATGTGTGTTTTTGATATATACATATATGTTAAAAACACTCAAGAGGTAAAAAGATTATGAACTACAAGGCCACAACTTTGGAGAAAGCCTCAACCCAGAGAGATAAGTAGAATATTGGAGAGAAAAAAGCCACTTTTGACCTGAGAGAGTTTCTGATACCTCACCTTTGGGCTTTGGTATAGTGGGCTCATTGGACAAATGGAGCTAGAGGCAATGCCAATCGCCCATTGAAGATGGGGAAAACCTATATTAAGGTAAGACCCCAAAAGGTTACATGCCCAAATAAGGGAGAACCAGAACTAAAACCCAACCCCAACCTCAAGGACTGTTGAAATGGAAAAGAAAGGTAAAACAAATCCCTAAGAAGTTGTGGCCACAGACAAACCCTCAAGTGGTTTTGTACCTTGAGCGGCCGAAACCAAGGTGGGCCGGGGAACTTCTGGCTTGAGCGTAATTTGAGGTGAACTTCACCTTGTAGTGCCCCCATGAACCTAGCAGAAGCCATTTCAGTGCCCGTCTAAAGGAGGGCACATTTATTCTGTGTCTTGAAAATCACCCACGCATAAATTTTCAAGAGCAATGCTGGGCACAGAGTCACAGATAAATAGTACACGAGAAATCAAGACAATATGATTGGAAGACAGCAGTAACAGGACCCACGCAGGCTTTAGATACTGGGATTCTCAGAAAGATAAAACGACTATGCTTACTGTGTTTAAAGATGATAAGCAAACTTGGAAATATTTGTACAAAGAACTAAAAAGTGATACAGTAGATTTGAAGATAAACCAGTAGAATCCATATACATGAAAAACACAATGACCAAAATTTTAAAACTCAGTGGGCATGCTTGGCAGCAAATTGTATGTAGCAGAAGAAAGAACTGAAGAAATTTTCCATAATGCATCAGAGAGAGAGATATAAATGGAAAATATTGAAGAGAAGGTAAGGGGAATAATAGATTCAGTTAGAAGGTCTAATTGTGTTTCATTGGAGTCCCAGAAGGAAAAGAAAGAAAGAATGGGTAAAGTCACTTGAAGAGATGAAAGGCTGAGAATTTTTCAAAACTTTGGGAAAACATTAGATTGAAGAAGCCTAGTGAACCTCAAGAAAAGTAAAAGAAATGCTCACCTAGTCTCTTCAGAGTAACTGTGGAAAATCAAAGACAAAAAAAAAATCTTAAAAGAGGTCGCAGATAAAAAGGCATGTTACCTTCAAAGGAATGTGAGAAAGACTAACAGCTGGCTTTTAGCAGTAGTGGTGGAAGCCAAAGACTGTAATCACAGCCTCAATGGGCAGAAAAAATAACTGTCATCCCAGGATTGTATGCCTACCAAAAATGCGTTTAAATTGTCCAAGCGTACTGCATAGAAACATCACAAGGAGGTGAAAGCAGCTGTAATTCACAGAGCAGAGTACCAGAAAGGAGAGATCCGTACAAGAGAGTGCTTCAGAGATCTGCAGATCTCTTGTGTCTTCAGCCAAATAATGGCCAGTGCATCATGTGAGGAAATTACCCAAGCGTGGGGCAAGAACAACTAGAAAGGAGCACATGGAATAATCCCTGAAATGTAACACATGGCCAGGAATAATTTGAATTTTCACCAGCCTGAGTGGGAAGATCTAGCATGTAGGGCATAGGGTACATAAAGGCTTTGCCTAAGTGGTGGAGCCAGATTACCCCTAGATAAAGGTTATTGTGTTCCTGTTCAGCAAAGCTCAAAAACAAGCCTTGAAAGAATCATTGTCTTTTTTGAGAACTTAACAGAGCTCAAAAGTATTTAAGGAAATTCCCAAAATGTCAGCACTCAACAAAGTAAAATTCACAATAGCTGGCACCCAGTCAAAAATTACTAGGCATTCAAAGAAGCAGGAAAATTTGGTTTATATTTGACAGGAAATCTGTTAATGGGAACAATGCAGAAATTATACAAATAATGTAATTAGTAGTCAAGGATATTAAAACAGCTATTATAAACACACTTCATACATTTAAAAGGGAAGAAGAAAGTGTGAGTATGAAGAAGAAGCATGGCAGTTTTATATACACAAGTTGTGTGTGTGTGTGTGTATGTAGATAGATGTTGTTAGTTGCTGTTGAGTCAATTCCAACTTACGGCAACCCCACGTGTGCAGAGTAGAACTGCTTCATAGGGTTTTCAAGGCTGTGACCTTTCCGAAGCAGATCACCAGGACTGTCTTCCAAGGCATCTGGGTGGGTTCGAACTGCCAACCTTTTGGCAAGTAGTTGAGCGCTTAACTCCTGGCACCACCCAGGATCTCCAGATAGATAGAGACAATAGAAATTCTAGGGAAGAAAAACTACTTCTCTAACGGTATATTAACTGCTCAGAAGAAAACAGTAGTGAACTAGAGCCAAATGACATTTATAAAACACCCCAATGAAAACAATAGACTACATTCTTTTCAGGTGCACAATGCTTCATTTACCAAAACAGACCATATTTTGGACCATAGAAGTATATCAAATGTTAAAGAATTCAGATCATACAGAGTATGCTTTCTGACCACAATGGAGTTAAATAAGAAATCCATGTTTTAAAAAAAAGAACTAGAATATCCACAAATATTTGGAAACTTAAACACGAAATAACTCATGGATCAAAGAACAACAAATCACAGCCAAAATTAGCAAATATTTTGAACTTAATGAAAATTAAAACAGAGTATGTCTGCATTTGTGGGATGTGGCTTAGAGCTTAGAATGAAATTTGTATCATTAAAGTCCCATAAAAGAAGCAATTCAATGATTTAAACATCTACCTTACTAAACCTGGGGGAAAAATGAGGAAATTAAACCCAAAGTAAGCAGAAAAGAAGAAATGATAAAGTAGGCACAGATATCAATAAAATAGTAAAAAAAAAAAAAAAAAAGAAAAAAATGAAATCAGAACTTAGTTTTTTGAGAAGTACAATAAAATTGAGAATTCTCTAGACAGACTGAAAAATAGAGAAGACATAAATTAGAAATATCATGAATGAGATAGGGCACATTAGATGAATAAAAAGGAATATTTTGAGCAAATAATGTCAATATATTTGACAACTTAGAAAAATTGGACAAATTTCCTGAAAGACAAAAACTACTAAAGCTCACAAAGACAGAAAAATCTGAATAGCTCTATACATAATGAAGAAATTGAACTTACAGTTAAAAACCATCCCACAGACAAACCTTTGGGCCCAAATGGCTTTAATGATGAACTCTACCCAACATTTCTGGGAGAAATAGTACCAATTCTATACAAGCTGTTCCAAAATAGAGTGGAGGGGCCATTTTCCAACTTACTCTGTAAGTACAGCACTACCTTTTTCCCCAAACCAAAAACAGAGGGAGGATTTTAAGGAAAGAGAACTACAGACTCGGACACCTTATGAATATTAATAAAAAATTCTTACAAATTTTAGCCAATCAATCCCAACAATATGCAAAAAGGATAACATATTAACCAAGTGGAGTATATGCCAGGAATGCAAGATTGTCTTAACATTTGAAAATCAATTTAATTCACCACATTAAAACCAGAATCCTGTTGTCATTGAGTCGATTCTGACTCATAGCAACCCCATAGGACAGGGCAGAACTGCCCCATAGGATTCCCAAGGCTATAATCTTTATGGAAGCAGACTGCCATATCTTTCTCCTGTACACCAGCTGGTGGGTTTGAACCACTGCCCTTTCAGTTAACAGCCGAGCGCCTAACCACTGTGACACCAGGGCTCCCTAATTCACCACATTAGCAGTCTAAACAATAAAAACCATATAATCATCTCAGTCAATGCAGAAAAAGTTTTTTCAAGAAAGAAACATTCAGCAAACTAGGAACAGAGGACTGTATCAATGTGATAAAGGTCATTTATGAAAAACCTACATCTAACATAATGATGAAAACAAAGTCTTCACCATAAAATTGGGAAAGGAACACAGATTTCTGCTCTTACTACTTCTTTTACTTCGAACTGGCAGTCCTAGGCATTGCAGTAATACAACAAAAGGAATAAATAAATGTCTACAGTTTTGCTATAGATTGAATTGTGTCCCCCAAGAATGTGTTGTAAATCCTAACCCCTAAACCTGTTGTTATAATCCCATTTGGGAATGGGTTTTCTTTGTTATGTTAATGAGACGGTATCAGTTTAGGGTGTGTCTTAAGTCAATGTCTTTAGAGATATAAAAGAAATTAAACAAGCAGGGAAGCAGGCAGAGATGACAGAAGATAGATGCCAAGCCATACGAGATCTCCAAGGAACCAGGAAACAGAAGCTGAAGAGACAAGGACCTTCCCCCAGAGCTAACAGAGAGAGAAAGCCTTCCCCTAGAGTCGATGCCCTGAATTCAGACTTCTAGCCTCCTAAACTGTGAGAAAATAAATTTCTGTTAAAGCCATCCACTTGTAGTATTTCTGTTACAGCAGTGCTGGATAATAAAGACAAGTTTGAAATAAAAAGTAAAAACTATATTCACAAATGACATTGTCTATGTAGAAATCCTAAGAAAACTACAGAAATACTACAAGAAGTAAAAGCAACTCTAGTGAGGTTGCAGAATACAAGATCAATATTAAGAGTCAATTTCATGATAAAAGCACTCAGAAAACTAGGAATAGCAGGGAACTTCCTCAGCATGATAAAGGAAAGTTAAAAAAAAAAAAAAAAAAAAACAACCCATGGCTAACATCACATTCAGTGGTTAAAGACTGAAAGCTTTCCCCCTAAAATCAGGAACAAGGTAAGAATGCCTGCTGTTCAACATTGTACTGGAAGTTCTACCCAGAGGAATTAGACAAGAAAAAGAAATAAATGGCAACCAAGCTGGAAAGGAAGAAGTAAAACTATCTCTGTTTGCAGATGATATGATCTGTTGTTAGTTGCTGTTGAGTCAGCTCCAACTCATAGCAACCTTATGTATGTATAAGTCTTCGTTTTCAGCAAGCAAAATTATGTCATCTGCATATTGCAGGTTGTTAATAAGTCTTCCTCCAATGCTGATGCCACATCCTTCTTCATATTATCCAGCTTCTCAAATTATTTGTTCAGCATACAGATTGAATAAGTAAGGTGAAAGGATTCAACCCTGATGCACAGTATTCCCTTGTTCTGTTTGAATGACTTCCTCTCAATCCATGTTCAGGTTCCATGTGAGCACAATTAAGTCTTCTGGAATTCCCATTCTTTGTAATCTCAGCCATGAGTTTTTATGATGCACACAGTTGAATGCCTTCACATAGTTGATAAAACACATGTAAACATCTTTCTGGTATTCTCTGCTTTTGGCTAAGATCCATCTGACATCATCCCTCATTCCACATCTTCTTCATCCATGGCCCTATATATAGAAAATCCCAAAAACTCCACAAGAAAGCCACTAGAGTTAATAAATTCAACAAAGTTACAGTATAAAACAATTAGTTGTGTTTCTCTACACCAACAATGACAATTAAAAGAAAATTTAAAAGTCAATTCCAATTACAATAGCATCAAAAGAATAAAATACCTAGGAATAAATTTAAGCAAGGAGGTGAAAAACCTGTACACTGAAAAGTCCAAAACATTGCTGAAAGAAATTAAAGAAGGCCTAAATAAATGGAAAGACATCTCTTGTTCATGGATTGAAAAACTTAATACTGTAAAGCCATTAGTACTTCCCAAAGTGATCTGCAGATTTGAATAGACATTTATATCCAAAGAGCCAACACGCACATGCAAAGATGCGCAACATCACTGGTCGTTAGAGAAATGCAAATCAAAACCACAATGAGATATCACTGCATGCCTACTATAATGGGTATAAAAAACAAACACAGAAAATAATAAATGTCGGCAAGGATGTGGACGAATTGGAACCCTCATTCATTGCTGGAGGAATGTAAAATGGTGCCGCTAACTGTGGAAAATAGTCTAGCAGTCTTCAAACAGTTAAATATAGAATTACCATATAACCCAGTGTCACGGTTTGAATTATGTCCCCCCCAAAAATGTGTGTATCAGTTTGGCTGGGCCATGATTCCCAGAATTGGGTGGTTGGCCTCCATTTTGTGATTGTAATTTTATGTTAAAGAGGATTAGGGTGGGATTGTAACACCACCTTTACCCAGGTCACATCCCTGATCCAGTGTAAAGGGAGTTTCCCTAAGGTGTGGCCTGCACAACCTTTTACCATACAAGAGATAAAAGGAAAGGGAAGCAAGCAGAGAATTGGGGACCTCATATCACCAAGAAAGAAGCACCAGGAGCAGAGCGCATCTTTGGACCCAAGGTTCCTGCACAGAGAAGCTCCTAGTCTGGGGAAAGACTGATGATGACGAGCACCTTCCTCCAGAGCCAACAGAGAGAGAAAGCCTTCCCCTGGAGCTGACGTCCTGAATGTGGACTTCTAGCCTACTAGACTGTGAGAAAATAAATTTCTGTTTGTGAAAGCCATCCACTTGTGGTATTTCTGTTATAGCAGCACTAGATGACTAAGATACCCAGCAATTCCGCTTCTATGTATACACCCACTTCTCACTTATCACCATGGTTAGCTTCCAAAGACAGGTCGTTACATGAAATTGGCATTATGCAAAAATGAAGGATGACCATATCATATCACAAAATATGATATGGGACACATATGTCCTTCTGGACACAAGAGGCAGAAAATATAGGTGGGTGCTTGTCTTAGGCTGGGTTCTCTAGAGAAGCAAAACCAGTAAAGTGTATAAATATATATATAGAGAGAGATTTATATCAAGGAAACAGCTCAAGTGATTGTAGACGCTAGAACGTCCCAAGTCACGAAGCTGCAGAAGCTGGCAAGACCAAGATTGGCAGGTCGGAGAGCAGGGCTCCTCTCACAGGCTGTGCAGGTCGACAAATCCCAAGTTCAGCAGATAAGCTGACAGCTCAAGTCCCGAGAACCGGAGATGAGATGACAGGAGGCAGCCGCAGGATCCAGAGAGAGCAAAAAGCCAGAATGTCTGCTTATATTCAGATGCAAGGCCACACCCCCAAGG